ATTTTTAATCATAGTCTAGTGAGGTCTGGAACATAATATAAAACCTTGTCTCCATAGTGGGTTACATGTTGGGTTGCAAACCATAAGGTCAGCAGTTCAAAGCCATGAACTGCTCCCTGGGAGAAAGATGAGGCTTTCTACTGATGTAAAGAGCTTACAGTCTCAGAAACCCACAGAGACAGTTCTAGTCTGTCTTATTGGGTCGCTATGAGTCCGCATTGATTCGGTGCCAGTGAGTTAGTGAGTTTGGTATCTTAACAACCTACTTACCATAAGGCTTATGGAGTATAGGTTAAAGCCTGACTAAAATGAACTCTTCAACAAGGTTGTGGAAATCATGCTGTTTACTTTGTAGCCAGCCCCTATCTGTTCATTAGTTAGTCATCATTTACTGACTACAACCATGTGCTGATGTGAACTCCTCATCACTCAAGGAAGCATTATGATCACAGACTCAATTCTCCTAACGAAGTGAAAAATGACGAGTCCTCTCATGCCACGTTAGTGGGCATCTGGTGTCACTTTCTTAGGGCCCTTTCCCCTTCTTCTGAGGACATGGAGGGCACATGCTGTCAGATTAAAAAGTCCATTTGAGTTTCGCTTCAAACTAAAATAAGCGTTGGTCTTCTCTTGTAAAGATTTAGGAAGTCTCAGAAACCTCATGTAATTGCTTTGAGTCAGAAAGGACTCAATCGATGTCAACTAAGTCCACAAGGAAGAAGCACACCATCATCAGTCACTGAAGGATTGTGGGATCCGTATCAGAGCCTACATTGTGAGAATCCGGTTTGCAGAAGGCTATGGATGACAGTGGGAGCCCAAGACATACTTGAGGGAACTACATAGGAAAGAAGCCTCCAGGGATCTCTCTATATCCGTTATCTGAGGGTGGGAGGGCAGTGGCTACACAGACTGCGCTGGAGAGATGAGTACAGAAGGTCAAAGGGATGAACCTGACTTCTTCGTATGGTTAAAACGTTGTCAGTACATCCTCACTCTGATGCATGCTGGACCTGATCTGGTTTACAACATTTTCTATACTTTTGTTTTGTGTTTGTTCGTATTAAGGTTTATCATTAAGGGTTTACATGTTTTCTATTTCTTTGGTATATGGACCCGGGATTGATAAATCTATAGGAACAGCAAGTAGAGTAGAATAAGGGGTTGGCTTTTTTGGTGGTGGTGGGGAAGGCAGGGTATAGGGATGGTAGGAGAGGGTAAAAGGAGATGATGGCAAGGAATTCAGGAAGGAAAAGAATATTTGGAAACTGGTGTGGTAGCAATTGTACAATACTGCTTGACCTGACTGAAGTATGATATATGTATTAATTCCCAATTAATAATTTTTTTTTAAAGAAAGAAAGCCCTCAATGGTAGTGGGATGTATGCACACACAGCTATTTTTGTCCGATCCTGTAATTTGTGGGTATGAATTCTTCTCATATTTCAAACTAGGATGGTAAATTAATTAATATGTATAACAATAGTGGCAAAAATACTTGCACACCATATATAAGAAACTAGAACTGATGGGATCAATGCAAGAAGTTTCTGAATCACTGTCCCAAAAAAACTCAGGAAGAGGCCTAAAACCCAAGACACCAAGGAATCAATAATTGGAGGGGGGGGGCGTTGGGCTGTATAAGCATCTACAATGCCCTAGGCGCTGTTCTAGCTGCTGGATTTAGAGCAAAAAGCAAGGTAAATAATACCTGTGCTCTCTTGGATGCAGAAGCTAGGCAAATAGCCTTGAAAGAACACTGTGGTCTCTGTGTTCCTGTGTGGTTGTGTCAGAGGAGTCTTGGCAGTATTCGTATAAGACTAACCATGCCCCAGGCAGTGGTCATCTTCCTAGATACCTTGCACCCAAATTATGAAAGCTAATATTTATTGAACTTTTACCTAGTTCCAGGCTCGAGTCCATGTGTATATCTCACAAACATTCTATTCCTCTTTTCATAAAGGAGAAAATGGAGAAATCATAATCAAAAGCTTTTCCCACTGTCATAGAGACTTTCTATGGGAACCAGGATAGAAGTCCAGACAATGTGATTCCAGAGCCCGGGCCCTAATACACTGCACATAAGCTCCAAAGCAAACTCGCTGTCATGGAGCCAATTCCAACTCATTGTGACCCTATAAGACAATGTAGAACTGCACTTGTAGAGGTTCTGAGACTGTAAATCTTTTTTTTTTT